AAAAGGTAAAATGCAGCAAGGTTGATATACGCTCCAATATGCTGCCAGCCGCAACCTCTGGCAACACCTGAAAATGAAAGAAAACGAACTATGAAAGTTAGAAGACTACAATCTTATCCTATTATGATATGACTAGGTGAGATATATAACCTGAAAGGGTTCCTTGAATGCAGTCCATTATAACAGATAAACAAACAAGCGGAGCCATATTTGTGACATAGTCCACAACTTCCTTCTCATTGCTGAAAATGTAGCCAAAAACGTGCCGGCTAATAAAGAGGATTGTGCTCACTGTTAATCCTTCTACAGCCGCAATAAGCATCAGAGAAATAACGGATACACGAGCTCCTTGTGGATTTCCAGCCCCTAACTCGTTCGATATTCTTGTGCTGAATAGTAAAATCATTTAAATTTAGAATCAGTTTCTAGGACGATCACATTAGTAAGCATTCAAAACAAATATCAGGTGCAGAACGGCACCTTGCAGCAGCAGCTAATCCGTATGGTATTGCATATAGTGTAATAATGGTGTTTAGGCTGTTCAAAACAACGCATTGGGGATCAGAGCTATTAACTTAAAGTTGGAATTGCTACATTTATATTATCATCAACGAGGCTTGTCAAGAACCTACCAAACGGAGAGCACCGAGGTTTCAAGCTGCGGATTAGGTAAAAGCCCTGATAGCAAGATAAGTAGCTCAAATGACCACCATTCAAGACTAGAATCGTCAAATATAAAATGCAATAAAATGTTAGCATATAGAATGATAGACAGCACAAGTGAACAGAGACAGAGAGAGGAAGTGAGTGTTACCAGATCATTACAGCAGAAGGAACGGCAAAGCGGAAAAACTCTTTCATTCCTTTGAATATATCCATTGAAAGGGGGGCACGAGTTTTCTCACAGGTCGAAGAGAACTTCATGTAAAAACCAAGTATGGTAACATTTAACCACATCGAAAGGTCCATGGCTACTGCAGCTCCAATATTCCTTAATCCCGACTTAAATACTAGCACCCAACAGACAGCTATGTGGAAACAGATAGTGATGCATGAGCTTATGAGCATGGGAAGGATCATACTTTGCATTTGAAAATACCGAATGAGCGGTTGAAGCGTTGCATAGCCAAAAAGTGCCGGAACAAGCCACATTGTGAATTTTCCAGCTTCGTGCGAAATCTGAGGATCTTGGCCTACATAAACGAGTACCTTTCCCAAGAATATCCACAGGACAGAGAGAGGAATGCAAACAATAATCAGGGAAAAAATGGAGGTGTAAGTTTGAGTTCCAATTCTTTTATATTGTTCAGCACCAAATGCTTGTCCACTTAGAGTTTCCAGAGCACTTGCCATACCTAACTGTTTCAAAGGCAGAGAGATCAAGTCAAATACCTCTCTATTCACTGCTAAAATTTTCAGTAAGTCAAGTGTTCACATTGCCAGTTAAAATTTATTGGTGCTTTTCAATAAGCTAGATTTAATCTCCAAACAATACTTAAATTACATGACCCTTTTTGTGTTCAGGTCCTTAAGATTGTGTATGCCAGAAAAAGATAGGATGATTATATTGTTTAAAGTTTTAGGGAAAAATGTCATTTGCACCGTCAATTATATGACATAATACTGAGGATTGAGATGGTTTAGGCATAATAAGGTAACTAGTACAATTGACAATTTTTTTCCCCTAAAACAGCAAAGAATATTCCACTTTAATCCACCATAATAAAATTCATTTACTACTATC